CCACATAGGAAGGAAAAAAGATCCAAAACTCGATAATTTTCTCCCTCCCGACTTTTATGGAGGAGACCGCCATTCCGGCGATTATACAATTTTTGTCAAACTTCCCTCTTGGAAAATATTTAGTCATCATATCAGAACCATTGTCATCTGTTGTAACACATGGAAGTGTAAATGTCATGGGAAGTTATAAAGTGCAAAAATATTGTTGATGAAAGGTTTCATGAGTAGAGTGTACGGGTGGTACACTGGACCAAGAATCGTGACAACCCAGTCGTGGTTAATACTTAGAAATATAGCATTTCAGAATCTGCATGAATGAGCCAACAGGACAGCTCATAGATGAGAGCACCGGTTGTGGTTGAGTCTCGTGGATTTGATTTTTAGAAACTTATGATTTTAGTGCTTTGGGTTTTGTGGAAGGGGTCTATGGACCGTAGAAAGGAATATGATTTGTGGTTGATGGCTCATGCTTCATTCTTCAGAAAGTTGGAATTTCAGGGAATTGAATTCACAAACGGATAATATGGTCCCTAGTAGGTTGTATGGACCGTGGATGGAATCTGTGGAGTTGGTCCGATAGTTTTACTTCAGGGATATTTGGATCTTTTTCTACTCTTTTAATCTTAAAGTATGTCGTTTTAAGCCTATTTCTAAGACCTATAACTGATTCTAAGACTCAAACCCTCCCCATTCACTCTCAAACTATCAAAATCCAAAGTTTCTCCCAAGGCGATTCAAGGGTTCTTCAAGCTTCAAGTCTCCTTTTCAGATTTGAATAGAGGGTTTCATCAAGATATGTGGTAAATTCATCAAAGGTTCCTCTTCACCCATTGAGTACTAAAGAAACCTAAATTGCTACTTTATCATCCTCACCCAATCATAGGGTTTTTATGATTCCTCCATGAATTAAATTCAAGTTTACTTATCATGGTTGATCTTATTATGCATTATTTGATCATATTTCAATATTTTCAAAGATGTTTTCATGAATTCATGCTATGCAGGTATTTTATGATATGAATTCAATCTATGATGTTATGCAAGCATTATGATATGAAAGATTTATGAATCAAGGATGCTTTGGAATAAATTATCAATAACTTTTATGAAAATTGAGGCTTTCGATTGGATTACCTCCTATTATGAAAGAATGATATGATTTAGTCACTTCCAATTGAAGTGATTACTACTATGAAAAGACTATCATGGTTTAGATGTTTTTGATTAAAGTGTCTCTTATCAATATATTATGAAATCATGATTTTAAAGGAGCTATTCTTATGAGATTTTATGAACGACTTGATATTACTAGATTCTTACCATTTCAAGAATTGTGAATATGATTATGATTATGCATGATTTTTGTTGGAAGTTTACTTAGCACCGAATTGGACTAGTGGCGATTACCGGGTCCTAGAACTTCATGCCTCCATAGGTATGTTTCGATTGGACAATAGCTAGAAGATCCACCTAAACTCTTGATTATGGTCCTTACCTTGGCAAGTAGGATACTCTCTTTTCGGTATGGGAGTAGTACACTAACCTTATGTTATAGCTCACATGATTTATGTCGGTTAACGGTAACTCATACAAAAATTTATGACTTTCTGAAAAACTCATGTTATGATTATGATTTAAAGAATAATGCATGACCCTGTACTATGTTTTATGAAATCATATGATCAGATTTATAGTATGTTTACTTGGTTATTGCATTATCATAGCTTCAGACTCATCATGCTATCATGTTATACTCATACATCTTTCTCCATATTCAGTACATTCTGAGTACTGACCGCATACATATCTTGTGCCTATATTATTTTATAATATAGGTTCTGACACACATCATTCAGCCTGCGGTTAGTATTGGATCCTATCAGGATTGCTCAGACTTTGATAGTCCTCATGGTTTGGGGACATGGCCACACTTATATTTTATGTCATTTCAGACTTATTCAGTTTCAGATTGTTCTAGTGAGTTAGGGCTTTTCCTAGTCACTCATTATGCAGTAGAGGCTTGTCAGACATAGTATTTCCACTTTGAGTTTTGTATTTATATTCTTCATGATATGTTGAGTTTATCTCTTGAGACTTATATTCCGCCTTCTTGATTATTCAGTTATGTTGTTCTCTTAGTGTCATGCTACACCATGAATTCCTTAGTTTAATATTCTTGTGACTCGTTGAGTTTTGCAGTTTCTTTTCTTAGATAAAAAATAGGTGATGTCTTTCCATAGCGTGTAATGCTCACCTCCATGTCATGAGCACATATCTAATTCTTCAAAAGTTTGAGGCTTAATCCCTTGCATGATATATACAAGGCCCAAATGCATTCCTTGAATACAAATTTCAACTACAGAAGTTTCAAAATATTGATCTTTGCAATCTAAGCTCAATATTCGCTAACAAACTGTAACCTACTATAGGCTCATCTATACTTTGTTTTGTGTTTGTCACCTCCATCATGCTCACTGCATGACGGGTGCTTTAGAAATTATTAAGGAATATACTTTGAAGCTTCTCCTAACAACCAATTGATTGATGCTCTTAGTCCATGTACAAATCAAAGGTGTTATCTTTCAAGGAACGCACAAACTTCTTGACAAGAAGATCACCATGTGTACCAACACTACTACAAGTCTCGGCGAAATATACAATGTGTTGTCTTGAGTTTCCATTCACATCAAATTGTTGCAACTTTGGTGGTTGATATTCAATTTGCATCGGTAAGTCCTCAAGAATATGAGTTTGAGTATCCTAAAGAACTTTGTGATGGACCACCATATTGAGCTTTGATGGTGTTTGTAATTATATATTATAGTTGTTGAATTGTTGGAGTAACCATTGAAGTAGATTGCTTTGCGCATTGAGATTCAACTAGCTTGGTGGGAGATTCAATATCAATTTTTTCTTGCGGTGCTATGTTGTAACTTGACTCTCCAGGGCAATAGAGATCTAATTTGCTCATAAATTGGGTGATTTGAAGACCTTTATCTTCAGTATATTTCTTTAATGCCTTAATGGTTTGCGTCATTACAACAAGTTGTTCGTTGACGTTGACTACATTAATCATCATGGTGTTGACCTTTGTTGAGATAAATAAATTTTTCAAATCGTCAAAATCCTCAAAATGGAAGCTAGTTTGAGAGACATCATCTGATGGACAGAAATGGATTTTTCCCTAGAAGTTGTAGTTGTAATATGATATTTGTCTTTGTCTGCCATCTCCGAAGATATGAAGAACTCTGATCTATTCATGTCACTAGCCTTGAGACTTACCTTACATGAAGTATTATTGATTTTTTCAAAGTCCATTACAGTACTAGTAGAATTTGTAGTTTTTCGATTTATAAGCGGAGGAGATGAACAACAGAATTGGTCTTACTGGGCGTATCAAATTTATTCGCAACAATTTTTCATAGTGTTGAAAATTAACTGCAATCAAAATAAATAAAAGAAAAAGTAATTTAATTGATGAATCTTCATGAGTACAATTTTGTTGTTTTTTTTATTTCTTATCTCCTAATATTTTCCGTGATTCGAGGGCTAACCATATCGTATTTCTCGAACATAGGATGATGTAGACCTCCTTGAGATGTGTTTGATCGTCGGAAACATTGAGAAGCACGCCATCGTCTCAAGTTGATCTCCGAGAAGAACATGTTGACCACTCCTTTGAATAATTATGTAGTTGATGTTGTAGCTTTCTCCAATGCTTGCAGACTCTCTTAAGAAAATTATGTAACCCTCCTATTTATAGTTGTAGGAGAGAGGCAGTCCAAATATGGATGAACTCTTTTGCCTTGTTTTGATGTTTATGTAATTCATCAAGCTTATCACAAAGTAAGGTTGCTTTTTGATTGGTTGATGAACTTTGACCAGGATTGCCATATATTATTTGAACAGATGGCATCCTCTTGTTGATCATGAACTTGACTGGGATGACAAGTCATCTGGACGTGGCATGAGCTTGGGCCTCAAGATGAAATGGACATTGGACTTGAGATTATAAAATGTACGTGTTCATGTGTGAAACCCAATTAATTATTCAACCCAATTGAACGTGAATTTAATTCAAAATTTTGTATGAATAAAAATTCTATTATTTTTAATAATAAAAGGGGGTTCAAACATATTAATTGAATCCAACAAAATTTATGTGTCTACAATCATTCTTTTAACAATGTTCCCTACATGTATGTAAACAGAAATTCCTCTATTATTGCATTTTCTCGTCCACGAGATTGAAATATTTTACCAGTAAAAATTGCGGTTCATTTCTGCTCATCATGCTTATTTACAGATCAATTTATTGGAACAATTCCATTATGGAGGAATTTTTGCAGGAAACCTAGTACATCTTATATTTTGTCATCATCTTCTTAGTTGGGAGCATTGTTTAAAAGAACTAGTAAGGAAATATTGTATAAAAAAATTGAAACAGATCGATTAGGAATTTTTTTCGCCAACAAAATTATCAATTTGTCATATTCTTCCATATAGGCGACGGCTAAATCCTACTTGCCAATATAGAGACCCTTTTACTAAGCAAGAGATCGAGTCACCAGACCTATGCTTGAACCAACTCAAGTCTAACATCTTGTTTGCGTCTCAATTAAGGAGGAAAAGATGATATTCAAAGAATCATATGGATGCAAAGGAACTACTATCGGAATTGGTTATTCAATGATGTAATAATACTAATTAAACCAAATATGGTTAACTGATTAATCATTTAAATGTTTACGTTTAGAATAAATAAAGAGTTGGTAGAAAATCATTTTATGGTGTGGCAAAACATAATTAATTAAAGTCGGGAATAAGGAACTCAAGAAAACGGTTTGATCTTGTGTTGAAAAAGTTGTGGTAATATATCTATGTTGGTTCACTTGGATAGTAAATTTTATGGATGCAACTTTACAATCTTATTTTCAACTAATTTCTCAAACTAAATTTGAGAGAACACTTTAAATAGAGAGAATGAAAGAGGAAGGCACTGTAAAAAAAACTAAAATACTATCAAATGAGAAGGAATTATCAGAAATACGATGTACATTCATGAATCATAATATATTTTTTTATGAGAAACAGAACAAAGGAAGCCAGCCAGAGTGAACCAAAAATGGTCAAACAAGCAGAGAGATCAATCTCTCTATTACTATCAATATTGCATTGTATTGTATTGTATTGTGAATAGCCTCTCTCCAGGTACACTAGCTGTTTCCAGAGGTGGAGACCTCAGTGCTACATATCGGACACACCTGCATCCACAAAATCAGATACAAAAATCAACTGCAGCCCTCCAAAATTTATATAGAAGAAATCTCAGAAATGAATACTAAAAAGCAACAATATATTAGTATTATTCAACAATTTGGACAGGTATATGTGAAAGATTCATTAATATACGTTGGAAAGGAAGGACGCATGGGCTGATCACCCACCCCCATCCCAGACAATTACCCCCATCACTAGAGGCTCTGCTGATGTAGAGCAACCCTTTCTAACCACTTCCAAAGTCCACAAGGATGGACAAAGAGCATACTACTGTGAGTTGTCAAATAAAAGCAGTTTGTTACTTCGATAGAGAAACTCATAGTAAGTTAAGATCAAAATATAGACAGTTATCCCTTCTGATGCACCATAATACATTAACAAATATAAAATTCAACAATTCAGATTCATTCTAGCTAACGTCGATTTATCCACTCCATAGTCTGCTATGAAAAGTTCTTAGGACAGAGGATTAATAAATACAAGTGTTGTGTCATTATGGCTCCCAACCCTCATCCCGATTCAATCAAAAGAGTTGGAACTCATTACAGGTATTATGCACAAGTTCTTACCTATCAAATACTTCAGTTGCCCATTGTTTATTGGTAGGGAAAACATCTCTATCTTTTCTGAGATGGTTAATAATGTGATCAATAAGATAAATGGCTGGCACTCCAAACTACTTTCTTCTGGTGGTAGGTGTGTCCTTATCAGACATGTTATTTTGGCCATGTCTACTCATATGCTTACTGCTGTGCATCCTCCTAAAGGTACCATTGAGCATTTGGAGAAAATGTCGGCTACACTCTTTTGAGGGGGCACAACAGACAGGAAAAGGCGTCATTCATCTGCTTGGGATAAACTGAGTCTGCCTTACTGTGAAGGAGGTACAAATTTCAGGAAAATATGGGATATTGCATGGCCTTTTCTATCAAACAGTGGTGGAACCTTAGAACTGGAAAATCTCTTAGAAAGAATTATGATAGCCAAATATTGTTAGAGGTCTCATCCTCTAACTACACAAAGACAGAGATCGTCCTAATTGGCTGATATGCTCACTGCTGGTATGGGTGGAGTCACCGGCGACATGCAGTTTGATGGAGGTGGAGATGATAGCGGATCGAGGTGATAACGATATACAGCTGGATAGTATAGAAGCCAAACTTATATCGTTTTAAGCCCTAGATATTGGACTAGGAACTGGGAAAACACATACAAATGGAAGAAGAAGAACAACAACAAAAAATCAGAAATCAGATAATCGAGGAGGCTCAGGCAGAGAACATGACTCAAGAAGTATATATCATAACTATCGAAGGGGAGACAAATAGTTACTGTATGAGCAGGGGAGATTCTTCCTTTCGGGAAACTTAGGAGAATCAGTTGGTCAGATACAATGAACCAGAACCATTGAGCATAGAAGACAATCTCACGAAAGTGATGATGGAGACAAAGGCTACGATCTGGGTACACCTTAATGTGATCAAATTAGGGCAAGCCTTTGGAGCAGCTATGGGATGTGAAAAAGAGGCTTATGCTTTGTGCATGAAGATGGATCAAAAGAAAAACTTGGAGAGATGCGCAGGAAAGGGCAAAACCTCAGATAATAATAACTACACAATTCCAAAAGAACTCAAGGATTGTGTCCTGGAATGTAAGGGGGATTAATGAGGAAAGGGGAAATGGAAGAACATAGCAACCAAAGCATAACGTGTAAAATGTACAGAGAAAATTATCATTTCTTTTGGTTAGTGACAGCAGTGTATGTTGATTGTAAAAGGGTGTGAAGAAGAGAGTTACGGGGGGAGCTATATTCAGTGGGGGGAAGGTGGGCAGGACCTTAGGTGGTGGGAGGTGATTTTAATGTAATCAGATATCCCAGTCAGTGTTCTTAATGGCGCTCGCCATTCGCCAAAGGCTCAAAGGCGAGGCGAGGCGAGCATGTCACGCCATTTCTCAGTGAGGCGCGGCGAGACCAATTAGGCGACATGAGGCGACGTAATGGCGACCTAAATGGCGGCGCCTTTTAGTTTTAAAAATTTTAAAAAGGTCTTAGACTTAATATTAGTCAAAATTAGGGTTTTTTTTTCATATTTCCAAACTTGGGACTCAGTCACGACTCTCTCTTCAACCTCGCGATTCTCTTCTTCTCCTTCAGTTGACTCTTCTTCTCTTACTTTCTTCCTCGCGAATTGAAAGGTATGGCCTCTTTTCTTTCTTCTTCTCTTCTCTTCTTCACTTCGTTTCTTCTCTTCTTTTCTTCTGTTCAATTTCTTGTGAAGTGAATCTGAAATTCTGAAATCTGAAGTTCTGATACTACTGCTTTGCTGCCTTCTCTAATCTCTGCTCTGTTTTATTTACTCTGTTTCTTCATTGCTTTGTTTTCAGGGGTACCAAAGATAAAATACAAATGACGTTAAAAGACCCATTTAACTACTGTTAGAATTATTTATTTGTTTTTGAAATTTTAATTTAATTTACTTGAAAAATCAGTACTTAAGTATGCAAATTTCATTTACGTTTGGAATTTAGAAAAACATTCAAATTTTTGTTTTGATCTAGTATCTACAGTTCTACACCGTATTTCTCTCTTTTAAAATATATCTTACATTTTTTTATTTTTTATAAAAATGGTATCATTTAAATTACATGTCATGTTAAATCATATATCACTGCTCTGTTTTTTTCCTCTGTTTTCTTTGTTCACTGTAAAATGTTGCTGAATGCCTACTGCTTTCACTGTGCTGTCTATTATTTTAAAAAAATAAAATTAATTCTTCAATAGTAATTAATATAGTATCTGTTGTATTGTACAATAGTGAATTAAATGGCGGATGCTAGCAAAAAGAGGGACATTGGATGGAATTATGGTACTCAAGCAGCACAGAAAGATTCGGCTAATTGTAACTTTTGTGGGAGTACTTTTAATGGTGGAATAACTCGACACAAGCAACATTTAGTGAGTGGTTTCAAGAATGTTAAACAATGTACAGCTTGTCCGTCTGCGATTAGAGAAGAAGTAAAGGCTTATATGCAAAATAAAATCGCTAATAATCCCAAATTTCAAGTGAGGCTGCCGGAAGAATATATTGATATTGATGATGTTGATGATATGGATGAGTATGCGGAAATGATACCTCCCTCCAAAACTCCAAAGATATCTTCTAGTGGAGGTGCATCATCCACCGCACGGAATGTGACGAAAGGCCCTATGAATCTCTATTTTCCACATAAATCAACACAAAAAGGAGGCTTTGAAAAAGGAGAAGGAATTGATGAAACAAAGTGAATTCTAAGAGAGCATGCGGTAAGTACTTTCGCAATATGGATGTATGATGCGGGGCTCCCTTTTAATTCTGTCAATCACAAATCATTTGATAAATTTATTGAGACAGTAGGACAACATGGCCCTGGAATGAAGCCTCCTACATTCCATGAAGTTAGAGTTACTCACCTAACAAAAGAGGTGGGGAAAGTGGAAAAAAATGTTGATGAACATAAAGTGCAATGGACAAAGTTTGGATGTTCCATTATGATGGACAAATGGACGGCACGAAATGGTAAAATGATCATCAATATTTTAGTGAATTCTCAAATCGATAGTGTATTTCTTGGTTCTGTTGATGCTAGCAATGAATCTACCGATTCCACCAAAATGTACAAGTTGTTTGAAAGCACTATTGAAAGAATTGGACCGGAAAATGTTGTACAAATTGTCACTGATAATGCTAGTGAGAATGTTAAAGCGGGAAGCATGATGATGGGTGCGTACCCACACATTTATTGGACTCCATGTGCCGCTCATTGCATCAACTTGATGTTTGGTGACATATTCAAGGTTAAGCCATATGCTTCCGGTAATATCACTCTCCTATCCTTTCACTTTCTTTCTAGTCAATTTTAATACTCATTAGCTACTAATTAATATAATCTTACTTTAACAGTTTTTAAGAAGGCCATCAGAATCCATTCTTACATTAGTCAAAGGCCATTGTTGTTAAACTTGATGAGAAAATTCACCAAGGAAAGAAATTTGGTGAAACCGACCACGACAAGATTTGCAACGGCGTTCTTAACTTTGAGAGCTATGTACATACAAAGAAAAAACTTGAGAACTTTAGTCCTCTCAACCGAATGGACTTCAAGTAAATTTGCAAAGGAAACTTTGAGAAAGAAGTTGCCATGGAATTAAGAAGCAATATGAGAAAGCTTTTGAAATTATTGATGCAAGGTGGTCAGATCAACTCCATCGGCCTTTGCATGCTGCAGGCCATGTTTTGAACCCAGGATTGTATTATAAAGCTCAAGAAGAGGGAACTTTACTACAGAGTTTGTGGACCGAGTATTATGCATGTGTTGAGAAGATGATCCCCGATACATCAATACAAGATTTACTAGTCGCTGAGCTTCCTAGGTACAAAATGGCGTGTGGACTATTTGGTTGTGGTCCGGCTAAAAGAGCTAGACCCAAGGTCACCGGGTAAGCGAGTTGATTTAGCTCTTACTTAAATTATTCGACTTATTTATACTCATTAACCTTTAAATTTATTTTATTATAGTGGAATGGTGGTCACTATTTGGTAGTGAAACACCAAACTTGCAAAAGTTTGCCATGAAAGTATTAAGCCTAACTTGTAGGTCATCCGGATGTGAGCGAAATTGGAGTGTGTTTGAACATGTAAGTAAAAAAATTATATCATAATTTCCATATTATATTAGTATCAATATCTATTAGTTAATATCTATTAGTTAATATCTATAACTTATGCGCAGATTCATTCCAAAAAGAGGAATAGGCTTGCACTATCGCGTCTCAATGATCTAGTGTACATTAAGTACAATAGAACATTGAAACGTCGTTATGATGCTCGCGATCTCATTGATCCAATTCGCTTGGATAACATTGATTATTCAAATGAATGGTTAGTTGGATGCCCCGAAGATCAAGAAGATGAACTAGTATATGAGGATGATGATCTTACTTGGGGTAGTGTTGCTACGGCAATTGGAGCTGATGAGAGTATCTATCATCTTAGGGGACTTTCTTCAAGATCAAGAGAACTTGACAAGGGCAAAGGAGTAGAAACTACATCTACAAGTTCAACTTCAAGTAGGACTCGGACACTAATTGATGAAGACTACGATGAGGAGCAATATAATGATGTAGAGGATGTTGATCTTCAAGAGTTGGATGGTTTTGAAGAAGAATAGCCTTTTAGATTTCTAGTATTACCTTTTGAATTATTGGGTCTTTAAAGTTCTAGACTTTTAGTATCTACTTTTAGTTTTTGAATTGAAATATTTGCCAATATATGTTATTGCTATTGAGATTTTGGATATTTATATATGCAATTAAATATTTTTAATTTTTGGTATTAATTGGCGCCGCGCTTCAAAAAGGCGAGCGCCTCGCCGCGTGGCGAGGCAGGCCCTTGTCGCCTCTCGCCGTCCAAAACACTGATCCCAGTGAAAGAACAAATTATTTCAGAATAAATGAAGCAATGGTTGAGTTTTCCAAATGCATAGAAGAGATGGAACTTGTGGATCCTCCTTTATTTTGGATTATACTTGGGGAAGGGGGGAGAATTATAGAAGTGCCTCAAGAATTGATAGATTCTTATACTCTTCATTATGGGAAGAGCAACTTACTCTCATTAAACAAACAATACTGGCAAAGATAGGATCTGACCACAATCCAATCATGTTATCCCGTGAAGAGTTGAACTTCAAGAAAAATCATTTCAAATTGGAAAGTTGGTGGTTGAGGGTAGAAGGATTAAAAGAAAAGGTAAGACGGTGGTGGAGAGCTTTTGTTGTTAATGGGAGGCCTGGCTATATTTTAGCTGAGCAACTAAAATTGCTAAAGAAAAGTTAAAAGATTGGAGTAGAAATAACAGGGCAATTGGAGACAAAGAAAGGGTGACATTCTAAACCAATTGGCAGTCTTGGAGGCAATTCAAGAACAAAGAGCTCTCACAGATGACGACGCATTTCAGAAATCAAACTTAACTAAGGAGTTTGAAGAAGTTGCAAGCAATGAGGACATAGCTTGGAGACAAAGATGAAGGATACAATGGTTGAAACAGGAGGGAGACAACAAATCAAAATACTTCCATAGGATAGCTATAGGTCACAAAAGGGTAAACTCCATAGATAATCTGAAGGTGGAGGGGGGAGGGGGGGGGGTGACATAGCCAGAAGAGATCAAAGAAGCAATACAACAAAATTACTACAAGAACTTGTAGAAAAAGACAAAAGAGTGGAGGCCAGAATTAATGTTACATGAAGCTACAAGGGTCTCAGCAGAAGAACAAGAGGAGCTACAAAAACAATTTAAAGAGGATGAAATCTTAGAAGACATTAAATTGTGTGCTATGGAGAAGGCACCCATGCCTGATGGATTCCCTATGTCCTTTTTTCTGGCGTTTTGGGAACTTATGAAGGAGGACATCCTAAAGACTCTCCAATATTTTTATGAAATATCAGAAGTTTAAGAAAAACTTCAATACAACATTCATAGCCTTGATCCCAAAGAAGGACATATAAGTCTCATAGGTGAAATGTACAAGATTGAGGCAAAAATACTGGTCGAAAGACTCAAGAAGGTGGTTAACAAGCATCAAATATCATTTATAAAAGGAAGAAATATCATGGATGCAACCTTGATTGATTGCGAGTGTGTGGACTCAAGACTTAAAGGTGCAGAAGCTGGTATCATGTGTAAGCTAGACATAGAAAAAACTTACGATCATGTCAACCAGAGATTCTTGTTGAATACTCTCAGGCAAATGGGATTTGGTGAGAAATAGTTGAAATGGATTGATTTTTGCATTAAAACTATCAAGTTCTCTATTCTGGTGAATCATGTAGGGCTTTTTTGATTCTAAAAGGGGTCTTATACAAGGTGACCCTCTGTCTCCTTTCTTGTTTATACTGGCAATGGAGGGATTTGATAGCATAATAAAGATAGCATTAAAGAATAGATGGATTAAAGGGTTTGAGATAGGAGATAGCAGGGTGGAAATAATGGAAGTACGTCACCTACATTATGCAGATGACACGGTGGTCTTTTGTGAGCCAAGGGTTGAACAAATAGGTTATATCAAAATGATTTTCACTATTTTTGAAGCTTCTTCTGGTTCAAAAGTTAACGGCGAAAAAACCAGTTTGTTCCTAATAAAGGAGGTGCCAAACATCCAAAATCTTTGTCATCCTTTTAGGATGCAAAGTTGAAAATATGCCTACTACGTACCTTCGTATGCCTCTGGGCAGTGAACACAAAGTAGGGGACATTTGGGCTGGAGTTATACAGAAAACAGAACAGAGGCAGACTAGGTGGAAGGCACAATACATATCATTGGGAGGGAGGCTCATCCTTATCAATTTTGTACTTGATGCACTTCATACATATGTAATGTCTCTATTTCCCTTACCTTCCAAGGTTATGAAAAAATTGGACAAACTTAGGAGGAGATTCTCGTGGCCTGGGTGTAAAGAGGGCAACGGATACAAACTAGTCAATGCATACAACAATGTAGAGTAGAGAGCAGGGTGGTATGGTGGTTTGGGCATCAGACATCTGAGAGCACAAAACAATAGCTTATTGATTAAATGGCTCTAGAGATACAATAGGGAGGAACATGCATTCTGGAGGGAGGTGATTAGACACAAGTTTGGTGAACTCAACCCATGGTGTACCAATGTGAGAACTGATGCTCATGGGATTTGAGTCTGGAAGACCATTAGAGCCCTATGGCCCAAAAGGGGAAGAAACTTGCAAAAGATAGTTGGAGATGGAAAAAAATAAAATTCTAAAAGGAGCCAAGTCCATTAATGGGGATTTTTCCAGACCTATTTATCCTAAGCAACAACCCAGATGGTACCATTTAAGATATGTGCAGTGCACATGGATGGAACTTATCCTTCAAGAGATTGATAAAGTGGCTAGTCTGCCAAGTAGGATTGATGATTTCAGAACTGCTGAACCAGATACATTAAGATGGAAACACAATACTGATGGGCAATTCTCTGTTAAAAGGGTTTACAGAATGGAAGGAAGAGTACCGTATAGAGGGCAACCAAACATTTTGGAGAAACTAATGGATGAGACCAGCTTTAACCAAGGTAAAATGCTTTACTTGCTTGGTGGTTAAAAGAGCATGCCTGAACACAAGAAGTTTTGAAGAAAAAGGCATAGTTACCAGGTGCTTCTTATGCAATGAGACAGATGAAACAAATGGTCATATGTTTTACACAACACTTTGACAGAATAACTTTGGTCTTTATTTCTCAACATAACAAAGACTAGTTGGACTATGCCTAAGAATACTGCAGATTTGCGCAAGTGCTGGATGAAAAGAGGAGGCAGCAAAAGTCAAAAGAAGTGGTGGAGGATCATACCACAATGCATCCGGTGGACACTTTGGAGAGAGGAATGGGAGGTGTTTTGAAGATAGAACCAATTCCATTTAGAAAGTTAAATGGAATTATATATTATCTTCTACTTTTGGTGTAAAGAAGTAGGTTTAGAGGATATAGATCATTTTGTAGGTTTATTAAGATCTCTGTGAGTATCTTCTTTTCTATTTGTTTTTTATCTAACACTTCTTTATGGTGTCCAGCATTGAGGACTTGCTAAGGAAAATACATTTACCAGTTTCAAAAAGAAAAAGCCATCTTGGCCCTAAGTTGCTCGGACTAGGGTGCGGGTGTCCGATACGGGTGCGGATCTAGAGGTCGGATCCTTCATGATCTAATTTTTAAGATTCAGGGATATGGATCTATGTATGGATACGAGTGCGGGGATTCGCCTAAAAATAATTAAAATATCTAAAAAATTAGAGTTATAAAACCTAAATTATGAGATATTATGTGGAGAACTTGAAGAGAATATTGGACAGAGATTAAAGGAAAAGGAGTGACACAGAAATTTCTATATAAAAGGTATTCCATTTTCTTCAGTTTCACCTTAGCTTTTGCATTGATTACATAAATCATTAAAACTGTCTAGACATTCCCCATCGATTTTGGTCAAAGTACCCAAAATTGGTTGACCAAACGGACATGGATCCCACCCCTACACCCATGTAGTGTCGACATGGGTGCGGCACCAAAAGTGAAGAGTCCAAGAAACTTAATCCTGGCCAATCTCAATCTTGGTAGCTATGGCTAAGATCAAACATCTTGTTGATGTACATATTAAATGGCAGGTTGGGAGAGGTGAAATATCTTTCTGGTATGATAATTGGATCACTTTTGGTCCCCTATGAAAATTACTTCTAGAAGGCAGCAAACCTAAACTTACCACTGTTGCATTGACCATAGCTAATGTTGAATGGGAATGGAAAGGCCGAGAACAATATATTCCAACTGAAATCTTGAACTTTTTTAACAATATGAATCTCCAATTACCTCATGATGTGCCTGATAGACCATTTTGAACACCAGGCAACAAAAGGCAATTTTCTGTGGCACAGCTTGGCATCTGCTAAGACATAGGAAGCCCAAATGCTGGATCGACTCCAAGACGTGGCATATATATGTGCCTTTCAAGATGAAAATTTATTATGGGGGGAGGGTATTGAGGGACAATTCCTATTGATGCACGAGTTGCCAGGTTTGGTATTGCTGCTCCATCTAGATGTTTTTGATGCAGAAACCCTGATGTTAAAACTGTTGATCACCTCTTTGTTATGGTAATTTTCCTAATAAGGTGTGGAAAATCATGTGGACCATTTGGTATTCCTTACACTAGCTTGCCTCTTACAGGTTGCTCATGATCAACTGGTAGAAGCTCAAATGTAAAGATCCTGTCACTAGCTTCATTGTCAATTCTGTCATTTATAACTACTTGGGTACTATGGAGATCATGATGTGGCTCCAAATATGGACTGATAAGTTAAATGTTAGGAGATCCATATCTCTAATTGCTTCCACTATGACTCATCTCATCTCAAATCATTTTAAAAGCATTTACTTATGTCCTAACTGGAATGCTATTATTCAGCTTGTATGTAGTTCCATACACACTTCAACTAAATTGTTTAAATAAAATGGACCAACTCCCTACCTGTTTTCTCAAGTTTAACTCTGATGGGAACTGCAGAAATGGCCTTAACGGGGGTGGTAGCCTCATCAGGGACATGAGAGGGAAGCTAACTATGGCCTACTCATTGGTGCTTGGAGCTGGGACAAGTGATTGGGCTAAAGCTGCTTCCTTGCTGTATGGGATTACATGGTGAGTACCAGCCTTAACATTTTTCTTGCAAAATAGTATGATGCAATATGCAAGGAAATCCAACATCTTAATCTCCATATCCATTCAACTGTGTTTACATAAAATGAGATAAGAAGTCTCAATCTCATTCGATCTGGCACATAGCCAGATGAAAATGAAGGAACTCAAGCCCAGGATCTAAGTCACTGTAACAGCTATAATCACCACCCTAAACAGTACTGACAAAAGACATATATTCCCTTTTGAGTCGAAGAAAGAAAAAAAGGGAAAAGAGAAGAGTACAATCTAGTTCAATGTGAAATGCATTGGCAAAAGAAGCACAGATAAACTTAAAGCTACCATGATTCTTCAAATAACTTGACATATATCAGCTGACCATGATGGAGCTAAACCACAATTTTTAGTCTCAGCTAGAGCCACATATCACAGATAAAACTTGTGTGATTTTTAAAAAGGTTCAAAAGGTAGGGGAGCACCTACAAACAATAACCGAAAAGATACTAATTGGCTTAGCCAAGATCCTTCTCCCTCACAGTTCAAGGATTTATTTTGGAGGGTAGTACTTCTACAATACCTTGTTTATTTGTAACCAATTGTTGAGGCATTCAGAATGATACGTATGTTTGCAGGACAGCACAGTCAATTTGTCACCATCTTCATAATCCAATCTACATATAACACACCTGGAGTGCAAAAATGTCAAGTCGTCAAAACATTTCACGTATGAAATAGTAGAGCAGCATAGGATATGTTAACTTACGAATCAGTGGTTCCTTCTGATGCAGTTTGTGTCTTATAGATCACTGAAGGCAAAGAGGCAATTGTATCAGCAGAAAGCCCCCTGCTCTCAGTTCCAACAACTTCACCTAGTGCTATAAGTTCCTGCATCAGTGCAGACAGTTGAACAATACCAAACATGTGAGGTAGAATACAAAAAATGTCTAAAAGAGAAACAGGAATTCAACAAACTGAAGTACCTCATAAGAAAGCTCATCAGGATCAACGTCCTCCCATGCATCCTAAGAACAACAAAATACACACGTATGGTTAAACCAAACTTAATGAGATATCACAAAATTCGTCTTTTCTAAAATATGCAGGAATTTTACATCAAAAAAACAACAATGTTGCAGATGAATGATCTTGGGCGTATTTTTATGCTTAAAAGCCACGAGAAACCCATATTTTAGCTAAATTCGAGAACAAAATCCATTATACTTACCAATTGTTTGATCTTGTTTGTGTGATTTTGGCTAACCAATGTGATTAGGTGTGTGGAGGATGGAAAACTAGTGGAGAAGACGCTGGAACGCAAAGAAATGAGATGAAAGTGAAGCTGAGGTTTGGAGCTAAGCAGGCAAGTAACAAAGAAAGCTCGGAGAAGAAGGAGCCCAGCTCCGCTTCCTCCCCGTATCGCGGAGCTGGGGAGTAACAATCAGTCTCAAAGAATTTTGGACCAGGGGACTTCATATCCACTCCGTATCGCAGAGCTATCGCGAAGAAGGCAAAAAGTTGTGCAAAGCAGGTTCACTTTGACTCCGCGTCGCGGACCTGCAACCCTAGATTTTGACACGTTTTCTAGCCTATAAATAGACTCATTTTTGGTTATTTTTATTATTCTTTTTCATATACTTGGAGGATGAGACTTGGAGGATGAGACTCTTTAATTTCTAGTGTTCATTCCAACTCTTTTCAATCTTTCAATTTCTTGAATGATTAAAGATTCCAGCATTGTGAATCGGATTATGAGTGGCTAAGTCTTTTTTTCTAGGGTTGTGGCTACAATTGATTGTATAGTATCAACTCTTTAGAGAAGATGGGTTATCACTAAAAGTTATTCTTGAGTTCTTGAATTAACTATTGTAATGTTGGATCACCATTAGAATACACATCTTGTTTGTTCTTGAACTCAGGAGAGGAATAGAGAGATAGAACGTGGAATACAAAGAGCATGATCTTATTTTGTCAAAACTTAGATTGATTTGTATCTAGGATAGGGATATACCTAAAGTTACCATGCTTGGTTATGAAATAAGATGAAAGTTTAATGCTCCATGGTTGGCTCAATCTATCCCGCTCAACGATGTAGTTAGGTTGCCAATTGTGGAAGGTGATTAGAGGTTCGGAAGACCATAATCATATCATTAACCTTGTAAATCAATAACTTGATAACCATGAGGATTCTAAAGTGAAGATATTGTGCATGAAATCTTGTTTAAGTTGTAGCCCTGGAATTTCCCAAGTCATTGATAAAACCCCAAGTGAATTCGAATTGGTGCTATTTAATTTAGTTAGTTATTTATTGCAATTACTAGTTGCATTTGGTGTAAACAGTCTTTATCATTCCTGCTTGCATTTGGTGGACAGTGTGGAAGGAAAGGAATGGTAGACATTTTGAAGGCACTAGCAGTTCTACTGAGAAAATTAGGATGAATTGTCTTAGCTTGTTCTTTTTTTGGTGTAAACAGAATATGTGGGGGGAAGTACGAGAGTTAGTATATTAAATTGACAATAAATAATTGTATAGGGTTTTGAGCAGAGGTTAGCACCGTTTAGATGCTTGTAAAGTTTCCAACTTAGCACCTTTTTCTAGGGTGGCAAAGTTTTTATTGAATGAATTGTTACTTGTCTCATAAAAAAAAAAGACATACAAAATAATATACCAATCAAACTCTCTTTACACATTTGCAATTAATTATAGTTACAAATTTTTTTGTCAAAAAAAATTAATTATAGTTACAAATGAAATTGGATATTTGCTAATCATAAGTCTTTTGGATTCAACAATCTGGCTCTTAAAAGTTACTATATTAATTGGGTGACCACATACACTTGTGTGTGCATTTGGATGCAACAATGAACAAAGACTCAAGAAACCCCGAGTAAACATGAAAAAAAAAATATTTTATCTATATTGAAGAAAGGGAAGGAGGAGAAAGCAAAACATGGTGGAAAAAATCTTCAGCCCAAAGAGCCCATCAATTCAGTTGAAAAAAATGCATCAAAATAGCATTATTATGAGGACAGTTTTGTGGGGCCAACAACAATAAATATGAGAAAATATTTTCCATAAAATATACCGGTCTGACCTATCAGTTACTGTGTGCCATTTGTAGATCTATCACGGATTTCACTAAACTATACCCTAAAAATTAAAAGGAAATTTGAATAAGAAAATAAAGCAACTAGCAGCTCAGACTACTCACTACTGTAAGGAGAAACTGTTATAGCACAAGTTTTAATAGAACTATTTGAACAAAACATTACAGATACACAATATGCAACATTGGGTATATCATATATGAGAGCATTCAAGGAAGTTCATAAATGTTTTGCGTCACTTTATTTATTGCCTTAACAGTTTGGCTAGATCCTCACATTTTTCACATTTATCAAGAGCCAAACTTGGTATTTCATATCTGTTCCATAGAGTACATGCTTGAACAGTAATACTAAAATTTGGTTACATGTAAATATTAGTGATATACAATATATTACATTTAGCATACAAAGGCATACTAAAGGGCGTTAAAATGTCTTCTTAAAGATGCTTCAAACGGTCCTTAGCAAGCCAAGATGCATTACAGGGGTGAACTCGTATTCACGACATTGGCGGCAGTCTAGACTCTAGATTCTCGCTCGATTCAGCCTTACCTGTTGTTTTTTAGATTAGGGACTTAGAATATGTTTAAACAGGTAATATTGATCAGGAGGCGCATTTATGGGATAGCTCACTCCCAAGTTTGTATTGATTACGAATACAAAATATGGTTAGCCGTTCAAGACACTTAGGCAACACTGCAAAGACCACCAAGGCCAATTGACTTATATCAAAGATCCTCGACACTTGTCAGCCCAAAGATGAACCTTATCCTATGGCAGTTAACATCCCTAACTACTACAAATTGTTTTAGTGTTCGTGTATGTCCCTCGTACAGATGAGAACAAATTTTTAAAATGACAAATAATATTTAAAATGTGCTTGCTTTAGAATATAAAAGTACCAAACAAATTGAAAGTTCCAAAATGATACATATTAATCATGTTTAGGTATTACCAAAATTATAAACAAAACATGTTTAGGGAATTTTGATCCACTTCAGTGGTTCTTCCTTCAATTTGTTCTAATACTTGTTTTATTGTAAATTTGTCATTGGAGTAAAATTTGATTGAAAGGCCAAAAAGTCATCCAAAACAAAGAATTATTTGAGTAGGAAAGTAATTTAAATATAATAAATAGAGTTACTTATACTAAACAACTCTGTAATATGATTACATTTTAGATATATCCCCCTTTTACTTTAAAATCAAATATTTACACCTATACTACGAAAATTCGACACTTAATCCCCTTATAAGATATATCCATAACAGCAAAGTATATCAAAATATAGTTTTAAAAAGATGAATTAAAATTATAATTACCATACTTATGTTTTAGATCTTTCCCTACTTAAACAATATAGAAAATATTAATATTTTGGGCATTAAATAGTTTAGATGGATCTTTTTCTTATTTGATATAATAGTTACCTTTTTATTTTGTGGTTGTCGTAAGAAGAAGTCGTGTATTGTGAGTTAAGGCAGGTGATATTTCTTAATATGTATCATCATTTATCATGAAAGATTGCCGTAAAATTTTGCATCGAAAACTATTTACAGGGAAGTTACTAAAAAAGGGACACTGACTCGTGAATGGGAAAAAAAGCTCTTAATTTAGTTGGTTTTGAAGTCCTAACTATTAGGGGGATAATTAAAGGTCTATTCCTAAATAATATTAGGAAAATAATTAATTTCTAATTCTATCTAATATGAAACCTATTTTTAAATGGTAGAAAAGGTGAATGGCATTTCTCTTGGGGCTTTTGTGCTTTCTAAAGTCTTAGGTTTTGCCTTTGCGAGGGTACTTATATTCATGACAACATTCATTGATTAGGAGAGGGGGAAGCAAGACACAGAAAAAGTGGTGGAGAATAATCCCAGATTGTATCTTGTGGACTATCTGGAGGGAGAGGAATGTAAGACGCTTTGAAGATAGATTCAACATCATTCAGAAAATGAAAGGGATCTGCATTGCAACTTTCTACTTTTGGTGTAAAGAACATTGTATAGAAAATGCTGAACAGTTAGTAGATCTTTTAGGATTACTATAGTTAATCTCTTGGTTTAGCTTGTTACTACCTTTTTGGAGGTCTCCAGCATTACTGAGGAATACAACATTACCAGTTTCAAAAATAAAAAACTTATATTCATGACAACAAAGTTCTAAGAATATAAGATTGAAGAAAAAGATGTAAGGTCCCAGAAAATAGTGAATGTTGATCTTGTTTAGCTAGCCTATTAAAAGGTTAAATCTTTCCCCTGCATAACTTCTCAGATGTTTTATTGGATTTTTTGCTTTGCCTCCACTTATCAAAATTATTCTATTGTTTTCATACTAATTAATTTTGAAGTTTTAAATATTTTGATTTTCTATATAATTCAAACAAGAAGATTTATTTCTTAAATCCAAAATGTGTTATAATTGAGGGTATTTTATTTATTATGAACGTAATAAAAAGTTTGGAACTAGTTATCCGTGAGATTATTTTGATAACTGTGATGTCCCATCTAAGCTTACGTGCACCTCAACTAATTGCAGGAGGTACCCATTATCTCCTACCAATATAAGTACCAGGTAAATCTGCCTGCAAGGCTTGAACAGATGGCAAAAAATCACCTAGTGCTTTTCCTCTGTTAGGATTTGAACCTGAGACCTTATTCCGTAATTGTGTGCCTTGTTCAGATTTCTATATACTTAGAATAATTCAAAGTCCCTAAAACAAAAAAGAAAAGAGTAGGATGGAACTTGACCGAGTACAATGACGTGATGAAAATGCACCCCCGTAACCAAGGTTTCAATTTCCAATGGTCTACAGTCTGCACTAGTATATATTTCAGAAGTGGATGTGGCTTTGTTTTTATTCTTCTTCTTGTAGTTGCTTTGTACAATCTTCTTTAATGGCTGCTTTTATTAGAATAACAAGTACTATTGCATCAGAACGTTACGATGTTAGAGTTAGTAATACACTGACTTTATCTCACACACATAAATAGAGTTGTTTTGTAAATAAAGTATGATTAATTAATGTCCATTCTCTTCCCTTCTCCTATTTCCTCACATGGTGTCATCAATTAATGTCCATTCTCTTGTAAATAAAGTATCATCAATTAACTGTTACAGAGAAAACAGGAAAACATAATTAATAGTTGTTGATTTAATCAACTTTCTGATTAAATTTTCCGTGCATAAAACTGTTGGTAGACTAAAAGAGTGCTAACTTATAATTAGGAACAAAGTCATATGATGCAAGGCTGGAGTGGCATCACTGTGGACAAGATGCGGGAAAGAGAGACTAAGATGGTTCGGACATGTGAAGAGGAGGTGCAAGGATGAGCATGTTAAAAGGTGCAAGAGGAAGGTAATAGCAGATGTTAGGAGAGGTAGAGGTAGGCCGAAGAAGAACTGGGGGAGGTGATTAGACAGGACATTGATACATCTTCTGCAGACTAAGGACATACACTTAGATAGAAAGGTACAAAGGTCGAGCATTAGGATAGAAAGTTAGTAGGTAGTTGTGTGTTGTCACATTCTGTGTGGCTAACCTCCTCTCTTCTTATCCTTTTAGTAGTATAATTTAGTTATTGCATAGTTTCTTATTCTTCGATGTCTATTGCTAGTTGTTGCTGCATTTGTTTGTATATTTGATACTTTGCTATATCTTTCTTTCAATCTTGTCAGATACTTTCCTTTTGAGTTGAGGGTCTTTCGAAAACCACCTCTCTACCTTACAAAGATAAGGTTCGTAATACGACCCTACCCAGACCACACTTGTGGAATTATACTGGGTATATTGTTTCTGTTGTTGGTATCAAGTTTTTGCAATCATAATAGAGACACATGTAGCTTTTTTACTTGCTATTTGTGCCCAACGCCACTCACTTAGTCAAAATAGTTTGCTTCTCGATGTAATGTTACAATTCTTGTCTCTTTAAAGACCTCGATTATGAACCACTCTTATTACCCGTGATCGTAAGGACAACAATGCACTTATCGCCAATGACTGTTACGTCGACACCAGATCGCATCCAATGGAGTTGCAACAACCATTTCCTGGGGTCTTCCGGGAATTACTATGATAACTTTCATGGCGCAACTTTGGTTATTAGAACTTCTCTCGTGACTATCTAGCAAGTTGTCTAAAGACTATTTAGTTCCCAATATTTTCAAATATGGAAACTCAAATTGATTTTATCCATCTTAAGTTTGATGGGTTGTATTAGAATGTGCATTATTGTATTAAAGTGTTGGAATGCTAAATTTAGTAAGGTTAGTCCCTCTTGGTTAAATAAAATGTGTTTGAATATCAAATCTACAAAATAGGAGACTTTTGTATTCAGTTACTCTTCAAGTCGTCTCTTCTTTGTCCCTTTCTATCTTTTAATACATTTCATCTTCAAATTACACAATTTAGATCCATACCCGTTGAGAAAAAAATTGTTCCAAATGCATTTCATGTTTTTTTACCGTAACCTCAGCTCCCCTAAGGAAGTTCCATTAGAAGTAATAACCTCTTAATCTAGTCTTCACCGCAGCCACAAACAACTATTTAGATTGATTCATTTAAAGAAAAGCACTTACAATATGTTGGTTACTAGTGCATCCCAAAGAAATGCAGGCATACGATGATTCTAAAATTTCTAAATGGAAGTTCTGTTTTTTTACTTGGGAACAGGCTTAACTTATGCTTCTTCAAGCAGAATTCCTCTAGCTTCAGCAATATTCCCTTATTAGCATGCTTTAAAGTAACAAAAAATTTTACTATATGCAACAGTGTTGATATACGATCCAAAGAGGATGGGCTAGAACTTAATGGGCTATTAAGGGAAGACAATGGTGATGATCACTGGTTGTACAGGTAATAACTAGACTAATAGAATAAAACGACTGTAGTACACTTAATGTTTTGATAAAAAGTACTTCCGTACACATAGGGATGCTGTTAATTATACATGATGATACTTTTAAGATTGTGGTTCTCTATGCACAACCTATCATATTTTCAGTGACCTAAGTTCTACTCTTAAGGACTGAGAGTAGAAAGTGTAAGACAATGTAAGTTGTTTCTCAAATACCCCCTTTCCAGGTATCATTTTATTCCCCAAGTCTGCAGGTCATGACAACCGACATCCTTCAAGGTTTCAACAACAGCAAAAGCACACTTCATTTATGTAGTAGGAATCTAAAGAAATAAATGTGTGTGCACCCATGTGTGTGTTCAGATTCTGTATTTACCACATTTCTTAACTTCCCCAAAATTCGTATGTCTTAGTATCATACTAATATCAGAAACTATTGTAAACATATTCTGCATGCAGTTGTCCCTTCCATGGGACAGGATGACAGTAGGTGGATGCAATTGATCAGGATGAAGATTATTTGAATTTGATCATATTAACCAACCTCAAAACTTATCAATGTTGAGATTATTAATTTTATGAAGAAAGAAGCTCAGAGAGCTCAAGATGTAAGATCCATGCTAGAATATGAAAAAACTGATTAACTAATGCATATGAATGATCATATCAATTTGTTTTCAGAAGCAATACAGTTAAGCCAACTTCAGTAGAATGCTAAATATCATTACCTGGGAATTAATAGCACGATCCTCTTCATCTTGCGTTTGTCCAACATACACTAAAAATCATAGATTTGTCAATAGTTTGCACGATAAAAGAAGAGAATAAAGAGGCAAAAAACAACAGTAAAAAATAAGTTTCAACAAAGGACTTACTTTCATTTATCCCAGCAAGGGCCAATAATCTAGCTGCCATTTCTCTCTCTTCAGCATCCTGTAGTGCTCTGGCATAGGCCTCATCACTAGAAAAAGCTGATGGGTCTAACTCAACACCTTGGTTCTCATCCTCACTAGCTTCTTCATGAGCATGCACATCAAATGCATCTTCATCATCCTCATCCACATTACTACCATCATCTTCTTCTTCGCTTGGATCATCAAAATCTTCATCCTCATCCTCATCATGGCCATAGCTCCCAGCATCCCAACTCCCATAATCAATCCCATCATCGTTCATACTAAGCATCATGTAAGCCCTTTCCTATTCCCAAAAAAAAAACCAGAAAGGCTTTATCTCATAATTACAAGCTCAAACTGTAGGGGGGAAACAAGAAACAGAAGATTTCATTCCCTCAAGAAAAAATCTTAGTTTCATGTAATGCCTCTGAAGTCCCAAATAAGATCAAATGAACCTTTACATTTTATATTTCAAGATCACCAGCAAAGAATAAGGGATAGTTCCATGGACAAGGATGAAGCTATAGAAATACCACAAAGACCATTCTTGAGGTCTCAAACTAAGGAGATGCAAGTGAAGGTTGATGGGCTTCAACGGAAGATCAAGAAGATGCCTATCGTGGAAGAAGAGCCCAAGAATTATAGCAAAAAGATAGCTAGGAGCTACACATATTTCATGGTCCAAGTTCAAGAGGAGGATTGGGCCCACATGGAACCCCATTACACGCCCAAAAGGGGTTGAAGAACATGCCTACTTAGGCATGTATTTTGGAGTCAAAAAGTGTCACTTCTTTCCTTATTTTGATAGGTAATTTTTAGAAGAAGTGTGACATTAATTTTACTTCTCTTCCTAGGCAAAGTCTGTTTCTTTTTAGGAAGTGTTTTACTTGATTTGCTAGTTTCATAGTTTAAAGCTTCCTAGTTAGGTTTTCTACTTATTCTTTCGATAAAAAGATTTATTGTCCAATGCAGAGTAGGATTCGATTACAAAGGGGGCTACGAAAGGGGGTACACGTTTTCTTACTTTTCTAGTGTTTTTTTCCTTTTCCTCTCCTCCCTCTTACTCCTCATTTATCCGTTTCCTTTTTTCACATTTCTTTATTTATTTTGATCCTCTTTCTTTTGGCTTTCCATACTCCTTCTGTTAAAGTTTCTTTTTTTATGGCCTTTGTTTCTCTGGCTTTGACTTCATTTTATTTTCGCAGCTGAATAGCTTTCATCGGCTTGACTCTGCCCCACTAGCCTATAAGCTGTCTCTCATCTTGTGCATCTAGACAACCATGATTTCCCTAGCAGCAGCATCCTATCTCAGCCACCAAAATGGCAAACTGCTACACCAGTTTCCGAGAAAACAAATATCCTCAGCCACTGGACAAAACTCATTCCCCCCTTCCCTCCATCTTGCCAAAACCTCTTGATCAATCTCTACTCTGTCTAGGGTTGGCATCATTGATGCTTCAGAAGGATTAGAAATTAAAAATGCTAGTTGACACATTCAACATTAATTTGTTCATTCAAGATTAGCTGCAATTCCACTACAGATTCAAAATTTTAGAAGCGATGTTTTACAGCAAACAGACTATTTGCACAGGCTGACTTTAGGGATTATGATAGCTTTTCAGTGAACTACTTATTTCTGGTACAGCTTTATAAATTCGACTCTTAAATCTGTTATACTTGTGAGTTAATCCAATCAAGTGAATGGTGCCACCATTATTCTAGAATAATGTACAAGTTGTGCAATCAAAGTCACTTGAAAAATCACTCTATCCCAAGACGTTATTCAAAGTCTCTAAGAAATATACAGACAAAAATTGAATCCTGATATGTGAAAAAAGCCCTAATCCTGAAGAAGCAAACATATTAGAGTTTATACTAAACCCTTTGTTCAGAAAGAAAAACAAAGTAGGTTGTTGAGTTAAAAAGTGAAAATGAAACCTGGTCTTGCAAGGTGCGGGCGAGAGCAAGATCAGCATCGACCTGACTAAGGTCGGTGAAAGGAGTTCTCCGTGAAGCTCCGGGTTGATGAAGAGCAGCATCGGATTCCCCATTTGCATTCACTTGCAGACTAGCATTCCCATCAGACCCATTAGGGTTTCCTGATTGGTGAGTGTTGTCATCAACCGCTGTGGTTTTGGCTGCTTCATTATTATTATTATTATTGTTACTTTCTGAATTCTCCATTTCTGTGCCAACAATCGAATCGAATCGAATGCTGGAATTGGGGAAATGGGTAGCGAGGGATATTCAAGTTATATATGGTGAAGAAGAAATCTGCAGCGTAGAAGAGAGCGATGGTGGCTTTGTGTTTGGGTTTGTGCGACAAAGAGTGGGGAATAATTAGAGAATATTAAATTAAATTATTTTATTAAATATCATTATGCTCCCCTACGTGGCGTCACCACAAACCAAAATTCACTTTAAATTTATTTATTTACAAAATTAGTCTTCCCCTTTCATGAAAAGTTGTGGCATTTATGAAAAGTTGTGTTTTTTATGAAAAATTGCGACTTTAATGAATAGTTGTGACTTTTACGAAGAATTGCGACTTTTATGAAAAATTGTGACTTTTATTAAAGGTTGTGACCTTTCTGAAGGATTGCAACGTTTCCAAATAGTTGTAACATTTCTGATAAACCACAATAAATATTTGTTCACACTACCATTTGTTGTCTATAAATAGAGGGATTTCCTCTCATTTTAAAATAACGAAAATTCTGAACCTCTTTTTCTTATCAATTAAATATTTGTGTACTTTACTCACGTTGAGTGGCTCAGTGACACCATTGCTTATGTTACAGATCCTGGTATGTATTTTTACAGTCATTAATTTGTGCTTATGTTATTAAAAATAAATGATAAGATGTAATAATTTTCATTTTCCTTTACATAATTTATCTTTTATGTAAGATAATATAATGTTTTACTTTTAGTGACCGATAGGCTTTAAGAAAGAGAGGAGAAAAAGGAAAAGCATCATGGAATTTGATAGCTTCACATTTTCCAACTAAAAGTGCCACCATCGAAGCTAATTGTACAACAAATGGAATTGCCTCTACTCATTTGCTAGTCATTTTTAAGGGTTCATTTGGTAGTATAAGAATTAGTTATGAGTAATTTATGTATTATTTTATATTATAAAATTATATAAACAATAAGGGTTCATTTGGTAGTGTATATAAGAATAATGCTCAATAGAGTGTATTAGTAATGTTTGTATTAGCAATAAATGTATTAGTTATGTTATATAAACAATAAGGGTTCGTTTGGTAGTGTGTATAAGAATAATGTTAAATAGAGTGTATTAGTAATGTTTGTATTAGCAATGCATGTATTAGTTATGTTTGCACTAATTAGACATAGATTATTTTTATGCATTGTTTGGTTTGATGCATTAAAAATAGTATGCATTACATAAAAAAAAATTATTTACAAAGATACTCTCCACAATTGTGATGGAAAAGATGCAAAAAAAAAGGATTTGAGAGGCAATTGGGTCTTTAATTAAGCTAATGCACGCATTAAAACCATTGTGTTGCTAATACCTAAAAATCCATGGTATTAGTAATACACACCTTAATACACAACAGAGTGTATAACTAATACAAGCATTAGTTATATATAGGTTAGAAAAGAATACCAAACAAGGTACTAGTAATACACAAGGCTAATGCACGTATTATTTTTCCTAATACACTCTACCAAACAACCCCTAAGAAGAATAAAGTAATAGGCCGAAGAGAGAAAATTCTTATTCCTCTTGAAGAATATTCCGGGATTATGGTATTCGTAGATCAATTACAACAAAGGAAAACTCATTTATTTATAAGGGAAAATGAATTGGTCCCTAAGTAGGATTCCTAACTTTTCTCCAAAGGAATTTACATAACAGACATTCACTATGATACAAATATGTTTATAACACTCCCCCTAGAATGTCTATTTGTTAAATATGTGTCTCATTAAAACTTTACTAGAAAAACTCAGTAGAGACTTGGTGAATAAATTAGTCATATTATTACTTGAACAAATCTGTTGCACATTGACATCACCATTATTGGGAGCTCGTGTGTGTAGAAAAGTTTTGACGAAATGTGCTTCGTTCTATCTCTTTTTATGAATCATCCCTTCAGGATCAAAAAATTCTGCAAAGTCCTCACTTCAACTTCTTTAAGCAAATAATTTGTTGCCTTTTGAAAACTCTTCAAGATTTCTAATTCAAGTCATCAACTTGCATAACAATACGAAAGATTCTTGATTGATTTAATCCATATGAGGATTATAAACAAGTTTTTCAAAAGCTTACATATGCTTTCAATATTAAATATATGACATCTTCTAGTGTCTAAACTGCACGTCAAATAAGCTTTACACTTACCAATATGCATTATTAAACTTTTCACTTGATAAACATCTGTATGACAACATACTTCAATAGACTATAGAATTTAGATCCTCATAATTATTTACAATGTTGTGCGCTATTGTATCAAGGATATCGTAAACGATAAATCATTTTGTATCAATTCGTAATATGACATAACTTATTGAGATCTCATCACTTCATTATTTTTCAGATACCTACGCCTCTCATGAGGTTTCATGAAGTATTATGTCGTAGGCTCTTCAAGAGCATATTACCTCCTTATTATATATATGATCTTTTTAATCATTTGTTCCTCCCCACTTTCAGGAATTATTTTATTTAGATTCGATTGGTCTATCATGCTTCATGCATATTGCAGACTATGCCCTTCAAGGACATTCAATATGAGCATCTACAACAACTATGAAATCAATTTTGGGTCAGCAAATGCTCCTAACATGTGACTTGAATTAATCTTTGAAAGAGAATCGTACTAATAATAATTCATAATATATTTCTTAGTTGCTTATTAGCTCACTCATATATTAGTAAAACACACGTATATATATTCAAGAACATTCAATATGAGCATCTACAACAACTATGAAATCAATTTTGGGTCAGCAAATGCTCCTAACACGTGACTTAAATTATCTTTGAAAGAGAATCGTACTAATAATAATTCATAATATATTTCTTAGTTGCTTATTATCTCACTCATATATTAGTAAAACAAACATATATATATATATATTAGTAAAACAAACATATATATATATATATATATATATATATCTACTTTAGAAAATTTATGTTTTTGCATATATCATGATATATTCATTAATCATATAGTACACATAAAAATTATTAGATGGAAAATATATGCTGCCTAAACTTGAACCAATTGTTAGAAATTGATCATAATTTATTAGTCTGATGTTGATACACTCAAATTTACACCTCGATTAAAAAGAATAAAGCAATTGTCGATTAATATAGAACCCAATTAGATTGGGGTCGAATCCCACATGGAATAAGGTGAAAATTAAGTTGTATGCGATTATGTACTTTCAGTTACTTATTTTTTTTTAAATGGGAAATATGGAAAGTTTTGAGGTTTTGTTTAAAGTTCACTTTTTGACAAGTAACAATTAACAATATCACCTAAATGTAGAATCAATCACGGAGAATTAATCAGGATTGTGTTCACCAAGACTGTTTGACTATTTTTGAGTTAATTGCATAACTTCATCTTGCATTGTTAATATATCAGTTTATCAAACTTATGCTACACTTAACCGTTTTTCAACCAAATTAAATGTATATCACTTTTATTATTTCGAACTAAAAGTGTTCACTATCATTTCGATAGATAGAATCTCAAGTTGGTTAATTTTAATACAACATTGACCATTAGACGAGTCCAGATCCTCAAATTCTTGTTATTAACTCCTTTTCAAAGTTTTAGCCATTTTACTCAAACAAGATAACTTAAGGCAGGTTCTAATGTTTTCAACCATTAGAAGTCAATTAAAGTGAAAGATATAATAAGGTGTACTGACACAACACACAATTCATTCCGTAAAATCCTAGTGTTAGGTCAAGTCGTCATGAATTCTGCAACCTTTGGTAGTATGATTTAGCCCACATGATTAATGAAATAAGAAATAAAATTGCATTTAATGTAATTACTTACGAGAGTTAAAGACAATCAACATTGTGATTTCAATAAGCTGATGAAATTATTGTACAAACTTCATTAAAGTGATGTGGTCTTCTTTGATATAACAAATATGATATAATAAAACCCTAAAAATAATATTTATAGTTCCAGAAAATTTAAAAACAGAAAGCAAAAATTTTGAGGCTCGTCTAACGTTGTGTTTGAAGGCATGTCACATGTGTGATGACCCGTCACATAACTTCAGAGTGCTATAGTATTCTTGTAGGTTTGACACTGCATCTGACGACCTGTCAGAGGTCCGACGGTTTGTCACTCTGTCGTCATAAAACTTCAGAAAGTTTGTGGAATTTTTACAAGTATGACGGTATACCTAATCACAGGTCTGGTGGTCGGTCATAGGTTTGACGCTCCGTCAAGCCTATTGTCAGAGCTCTCCTTTTGCACACTTAGCTCCTTTTCACTTTCTTTCTTGCCTTAACTAATTTCCTATCTAATAAATTAGAAAACTATCAAAAGACATTGTTGTTACTTAAAAACTCATTATTATTCCTAGTTAAAAGTATCAAATGTGTCGTCAAATGCTGGCACATCAACACCCTCAACTTAGAACATTTGTTTGTTCTCAAGCAACACCAAACACTACATTTACAGACTCATGAACTATCATCACATCCATTACAAACATTCTTTACTCAGACATGCATATATGTATTAGTTAATACATCAAATTAAAAGAATCTATGAATGTCATCCGGATATAAACAAGCAACTTAGTATATAACCTTAGAAATCAACCATCAACAATGCAATCCTAGTGCCATTACCACAAAGAAGTCCCTATCACTATCATGACAAAATTTATTTGCGAAAGACACTATGAGACACTCATACTCAAAATAAAATTCAATCAATGCGCACACAACCCATAGGCTTGCCGTTATTATTTACACATTGACTTCTCAAATAGACGGACTAGGATCACCATAGGACTTGTTAGGCGTGTAATGTAGGCTCAGGGTAAAGGCAGGGTACATTTGGGAGTAGTGACTATGCCCTCCTTGCTACCATCTTCGCCTTTCTTTCCTCTTTAGCCAACCTTGTTTCTCCCTTTTTATTTAACAAATTCTGATCCTTTGGATGTGGCTTATCATTTTTTATAACTTATTACTCATGATGACACGCTACATCCCCAAGTTTTGATTATTATCATCCTATCTTTATTCATACCCCATTGTATATTTACTTTACTCAACTTAGACATTTTACTTAAGATAAGGTACATGGTGTATAAGG